TTTTTTTTTTCCCTGGGAACAATTGCATGAGATCAAGTATCTGTTCCTTAGGAGATCATCTGCTCCTGCTGCTCATTTACCATCTGAAATCATAATCATCTGCTGGTGACAATCTAATCATCTTCACAGTAACTAATTGTGATGTCACAAACAAATGATTATGATTTCAGGTGGTGAACAAACAGCAGGAGCAGATGTACTCTGAAGAACAAAGACTGTAAAGTCATGCACGAATCCCTAGTAATAAAATGTTAGGCAAGAAAAACAAAGAGCCTGTCCTTTACAGAGAGGTAGAATTGCTCTGAATGTATTTTTTTTTATTATTAGTTTTTTAATTCTTACTTTGTGAGTCCCAAAATTGCTGGAAATAGATAAAGGAAAACTATACTATGGAAATTTGAGGGTGGGGAACATATAAAAACAGTTAGGCTCATTTCTCCTTTGTTAGAAATATAATATATAAAAACACTGTTACTTTCTCCTTCTATTTTTATATATTTTTGTTCTTCATAGCTCACCCACAGCTTCTTCTAGAATATGTACTATATGATGTTTGTGATTACCCCATCCAGAAATATAAAACCAAAATACGTTCCCAAGAAAATGCACTTTGCTTTAGGATTGTTTATTTGTTTCATGTTTTTTTTTGTGTTGATAAATATTTAAGTCAAATCCAGAGAGATAAATGAGCATTCTGTTGAGAGTAAACATCTCCTGTATGGGCTGCAAATGCTTGTGGTCTGCCCACAGTGTCTCAAAGTCTCTTCCAGAAGCACTGGGGAAAAAACCATGCTCAATGTTCTTGTTATTTCACATGTGAAAAATGTCTAAGGTATCTCAAACCAAGAAACAAATGGCTTCTTGTTTCACCTTTAAGATTGTGAAATGAAGAGGAAAGGTAAAGAAGTAAACCTGTGGGAAGAAGTTTTGCCAGTGAGTAGGAGAAACAGAAGTGAAGTTTGCTGCAAGGACAGCTGCAAAAGTAACATGATAGGGCAGAATAGGAGAAGATAATTTTCAAGGATATTGAATAGGAAATACTAAAAATGCATTGAGCGAGTATGTAGGAGGATACAGACTGTAAGGTATTTCTCAGCAAAAACAAACTACTTAACAAGGGTACAACGAAATCTGTTCTTTAACTGTACTAAAATATATAACTGTTATGATTTTTGGTTTTGTTGTACTGATGTATACAATTTCACTTTACTATTAACAGTTTCATTTCACAGTTTCGGACAGACACAAAGGAAGAGTATTATGCACATAAAGAAAGAGTATCTGCCTGCAAAAGGAAACTGATGCACAATATATTGTCCTAGAAGGACACAACTCTTTTCCTGAAATAAAATTCTTGGAAATCTGACTATGAGCTGCCAAATGGTAGATGTAGCAATATCAGAACTTCAAGCCACTGAAAGTTCGGTTTTAGGGTAACAACAAATGCAAACTGTACATTTCTCCTATAAGCAAGGACATAGAAGGGAGGAAGCTACTCCGTTTGCACTCTTTAAAACTTCCTACAATAATGACATTGTAAGAATAGATTCACATACCAACAACTTTTGTTCTTAAGTAGCACATTCATACCTGAAAGTATATGACATTTTTGATCTCAAGCAGTGGAACTTGTTTGGAACTGCCTTAAAAATACCATGCACTTCACAGGTGCACAAGAGATCATGCATGCAAATGATTTCTTTTATTCAAAAGAAGACACTTCAAATTTCATCAGTTCTCCTTGACTACAAAGCTCTGAAGTTATCTTGGACTCTGGGGCTTAGGGGAAGATCAACAGGTGTGCGCAGGGAAAACTGTTAACAATACTAGTCCTTCTTCAGGATTTTTTATGCATTCCCTGTGTGGGAAACTAACACATAATATTCTACCAGAAGCAGAGCAGCAAAGCGCTCATAGGTACTGGCAGACCATCCCCCTACTAAACATTAGTACAGCATTTCAACAAGTAATCATGTCTATGGAAAACTGGTGAGAAATATCATACGACACTACGTAGATCTCCAAATGTGGCAATCATGTCCTTGCACCTCAGTCGTGTCCTGAAAAACAGGCCTCTTCATAGAGCCATTCAGTAGGAAGGTATCAACTGAACTTACTGGTTACCTAAATAACATACCAAAACTTTCTGTAAATTTTCTACCCGGAATCTGTGGTTCCTTCCTATACATTACATAAATAGTGTGATATTTACATGTTGAAAGATCTACAGTATAGAAACTGCTAAAGTGGTTTTCTGTATAAAATATACCTTAATAGAGTGTCAAGCGATACAGCAGATTCATAACTCTATCAGAAAGGCCATTTTAGTTTAGAAATCTAGAAGTTTCAATGAGAAACTCATAAAGAAGACCTATTAGCAATTCATTCAGCTGGAGGTGATATCACATTAACACATTTAGAGAAGAAAAATGCATGTCTAGGTCTTCAATGAATCCTGGATAAGACTGTAAGGTGAAGAAAGACTGGTCTGGACTCGACATAATTGTAACATATTCATTCCCCTCCTATGTCTTTATATGAAAATCACAGTTAAGATGTAAATTTTAGAGAAAATACCTTAGAAGAAAAAGGCCTTTTATGAGATAAAAAATTTAAAAAATCAGTAAAAAAATATATGCCTGTTGATAACAATTTTGGTTCAAACCCTTCCTATTTTGCAAAAGGATAGCACAGTTCCTCTGGAATAAAAAATGATACACTTCAATCAGCTGGTTATTATTAATGTTGCTTACAGATTGGTACCCTCAAAAAAAAAGGAGTTAAGGGATTAAGCATAGTTGTCTCTGAACAGCAGTGCCAGAAATAAATGCTCTGTGTCTACTGACATGATATCTACATCTCCTCTAATTTTCAATTTAGTTGGAGATCAGAAGGATGAAAATGAAGGCATCTAGAAATGTCTTTCATGCATTAGAAAACCATTCCAGAATGAAAACCTGTTTCTGGACTGTGGCCTGTCATGGCTGCAAAAAGGTGTGTGAGCAGGCTTTATGGTCAGCACAGGCTTAAAATATAATTTTGCTGATCTTGTCTCTTGTTGAGTGAGTATGCCTTTGTGTTCCCCTCCTAGATCTGGATTTACATGTATAACTGCCAAAGTTTTCTCGCCAGATAAAGCCTGCGAAAGGGATTGTTTTATCTTGTTGGTGTAGTAGATGGTTGTGATGTCATCTATAAATATCTTTGCTACAAGACAGTGCAAGGATAGGAGAGAAAATCAAGAGGTCTTATTCTGCTGTCCCAAACTCCAATATGTTAACATTTGATGATATTAACATTTGAAGATGTTTCGCAGGCAATTCTTAGAGATTTTGACAATGCAAACAGAAATCATCTAGAAGTATTGATGGAGATTGATGATAGGTCTGGAAGGAAGAAATTAATAACAAGTCTTAGATCCTGTAGAATCCTTCCTTTTAGGGAAACAAAGGCATGTGCTGAATCAGAGATCACTTTAAATACTAGCAAACTTTTTTGTAAGTTGAAGCACAAATTATTCCCCAGGTCTAGTAACTGGGAAGAGTGTGTATATATACTGGTATACTACTGAACCCCCTTAAAACCTGCTTTTAGGACCATGTCCTTCAGACGTATATAGGCAAAAAATAGAAAGTAGCACATGTGTATGCCTGCTCTAGTACAGTTCTTATTTGAGGGAGAGAATGTTTGGGACTCTTAAGAAGTTCAAAACTCAATACAGTTCTAGAGAAGAATCCATGGTTCATCAGGAAAATTAGGAAAAGTGAAGGAAGTACTCTTTACAGTATCTTTACCACTCTAAACAGCAAAAATCTAGTTATAAAGTCACAAAGGCCTGTCCTATTCATCATCTGCTGCAGTGAAACTGAAGTTGGTCTTCAGCACCAAGGTCTGTCAGGCCTTTGTGTCTACAGACACGGCTCAAGGAAGAAAGAAACTACCAGTAGTGGAACCTGATCAGTCAGGGATCACTTGAGAAATTTTCAGCCCATACAAGTCCATTGAACCAAATGGGATATATCTTAGTGTGCTGAGTCAACCAGCTTATGTTATTGTGAGGCCACTCTCTACTATCTTCAAAAAGTCATGGAGATCAGGAAGGCTCTTCAACGCCTGGAGAAAGGCATCATCACCATCATCATCATCATCATCAAAAAAGGCAGGCTGGTCAGCCTCTCTTTAGTCCCTTGGAAAATCATGCATTAAGTCCTCTTAAAGTCATTTGTTGGCACACAAAGGAGAAAAAAGCCAGTGGGAACAATCAGCATGAATTTACCAAGGATAAAAAACAGGCTCAACAACCTGATTGACTTTTATGATAAAATGACTGGATTTATGAGGAAGGGAGAGCAGTGGATGTCATTTACCTTGGCTTTAGCAAGGCTTTTGACATGTCTCCCATAGTATCCTTGTATACAAGCTGTGATGTTAGAGTCTAGGTAGATGAATTACTAGATGATGAAAATCTGTTTGGATGATCAGACTTAGAAGACAGTGGTATGCTTTTGGGGACCTACTAGCAGCCTTCCAATACCTAAGAAGACGTTGACAAAAAGATGAAACCAGGCACATTACTGAGGTACGTTGCAGAAGAACAGGACATTATAGTCATAAACAAACAGGAGATGTTCTGACTGGGATAAAAGGAAAAAAATTCAATGTGAAGATAATTAAGCATTGGACCAGGCTGCCCAGAGAAGCTATGGAATCACTGTCCTTGGAGAATTGGAAAAAAGACACAAGCAACCTTGTCTGAATGTACTGGCTCTGCTTTGCGCAGCCAGTTTAGATGAACTCCTAAAATCCCTTACAACCTGAAGGATTCAATGAGTAAATAAAAATCTTGTTCCTGCATTCTCTCATACCTACACTCAAGTGTTAATTCATGTAATTGCAATAAAAACCTTAAAATATTTACAAAAAGTGTTTCAATTGTCTCAAATAATCCAGATCCTACAAAGAGAAATAAGTATAAATATAATTTAGAAAGCAATACTTACTGTTACTTGTTGGCTCAGGAAACCCAACATTCTGGCCGTTCCAACTCTTGTTTTCTCCAAGCTGAAACAGGTAGAAAAAGACGTATAAGTAAAGAGCAAACTACTCAAAAAGAACATTCATGTTTATAAATTTAGTACAAAGATTCTAAAAAGGATGACTTGGGATTGCCACATCTGCTCACAAAACTTTGCTAATACATCTTAATTTTTGTCTAAAATAGTTTATTTGAGGAATGTACCCTTCATGAATAAACATTAACAACTATTGCCTAACACTGAAATATAAATGTTTCCCCAAGGATTAGGCTCAACTCAGTATGTTACCAAATCAGACTTAAAATCAAATGTTTTAAGCAGCTCTCAACTGAAAACATACACAGACAACAGAGAAATTACATTCTAAAAAAGAAGATCCTAATATCTGCCTACAAAAGAATGCATAAACACTACAAAGTACTTTAGGTGTAATTTTAAAATATTTACTCGCTAGAAATCGATACAGTTACTGAAGTGGAAGTCAAAAAAAGATTGCAATTTTCCATTATTTTAATATATAGACTTTTTTGAGGAAGCTAATGGTCTTCAAATTAATTTTATTATGTTTAACATTGGGTATTACTCTGACACAGAAAAGGGGAGCAATTAACACAGAAGTTCAAAATGAGGCCACTCCTGAAATCTACACAATAAATAAGATGGCGCGGTTCTAGATTTATGTGTAAATGAAGATAAACAAGTCCGAGCTTCCTCATGAACTAGGAGCTACTGACAACCAGCTCTGTGACTGTGGAACAAATGATCCTTTTCAGATTTCACTGGGATTTTGTATGCAAACAGAAAAACTCACAGCAAAGCAGTCTATATACCATGCCAAGTTGTAATCATTTGCTCTGGAGGATGGGGTTGATAGCTGAAGAGCTGCAAGGGAGGATCAGCCGGCTGAAATCTGCCTCTGCATCTCAGAGGTTGCATTAAGGCTGTTTAGATAACTATCATGATGTAATGCAGACTACTAGATGATATGTTTTCCTTGGGAAAGAGGAGGGAAGAGCAAACTATGCAAAGCAGCTATTCCAATGATTTTTCCCTGCCTTTCCTCATCATGTACATCCCAATGTGCTTATAGCTTAGACAACATACAATAAAAATGGGAGATATTTAGTGGAAAGAGAGAATAGGTATTAGAGCTGGCTCTCAAACTGGTCACCCACTTCCATGCACTTTAATTTCACATAATTCCTTTTATTCATATTATGAAGCAGATAATATATATATTGGAAAACATGGAAGATGACAGTTCTTCAATTGAATAAGCAATATGAAATCTCTAAATATGTCTGTATTTACTGCTGTCTGTTACAACAGCATGGTTTTGTCATGAATCCATACTGTGCTTGCGTAACATAACAGGAAAATCAGCATGAGCATATGGCTCAAATATGAGAAGAACATTTCCAACTCTCCTCATTCATCTCTTCACTGTTTATTAACTTGATCATGATGGGGAATTTAACAAGAATTCATCTATCAGTAAGTTATCCTTAGTGCTGCTGTCTCACATGACTGAAATCTACTCTGGTTTTCTTCTCTCTAAGATAATAAAAGTGGCAAGAGGAAAGAAAAAGATGGAAAGATGAAAACATGAAGACATCACAACTCTCCATTCTCATCTGTAGAGCTAAAATTCTGATAGCTGCAAAAACTCTCCCAGAGCACTTTCAAATTGCTCTCCCCATGGCTCTGCACAACCATTATTGATTTATTCCAGGAACTGGAATACATCAGACAAGAGCAGGGCCTTTACTTTTTTACATTACCTGAGTTACCTGTTTACCTGTGCTGTCATCAGCACCATACATGGCTCTTGTAACACTCTTAGGTCTTCATTAAAACAATGAATACAGTCACATTTTATGCACTGTCATTAAGCAAAAAAATACTGAATATGGTTTTGCTTTTTTTTAAGGAAGGAGGAAAGGGATGAAAGGGCTCGGGGAAGTGGGGAGCAAGGGAAAGATAAATTGCCTTTTTTAAAAGCATCAAAAACAACACAAGTGAAAATTGTCCATTTAGATGCCAATCAGCTAATCTACATTGGGCCCCATTTTGGATTCAAAGAGAGAATCAAGAGAGAAATGGTACATCTTTATTGTGCAATTTATATGGAAGGAATTTTGCAGTGCTCAAATTGGTAGAGATCTAAGAGCTATTTTCCCTCTTCTCCAGTACAGTTTATTTTGAGAATTAAAATGCTTTCATTTATACAAACTAACTTGTGTATCTGTAAATATGTTCAGTCTGTTATATACAGAAGATAAAGCCACATGTTCTAGATATTTTATGTCCTTAACTTCAATAAAGGTATAAAAATTTGTTCTATGATCTTGAATACTGCTACTACAGAAAATTTGAGTAGTTCACATTTTTTGGATACAGTATCATGTTTACTCATTGTGTTCAGAATATTAGGCCATTGGATGCTATTCTATCAATTCTAAGATATCTACGTCTGCAAGTATGTAATTAAACCTGCTTTTTTAAAGGCAATGCACTTGTAAGCAATAGTTTAATAAATGTAGGGAAATGAAGCAGCAATGCCCCTTTTAGCCACTCAAATTTTTTTAAAGATTTCAATGTAACCACAAGTTTCCACTGTGTAGAGCTCTCCAAAGCAACTATGCTGTGGGCTGATTTTTTTCAGGCTTTATCTCTGAAAATTACTGAGTAAAAATAGTTCAGCCAATTTGAAATCCAAGAATGAAAACTTATGTTTTCCTATTAGAAAAAAAAAGTTGACTTTGCTGTTTTGCTTTGATTTTCAGAAAGCCCTATGACCAAATTGGCAGTAAAGAATAAGTTGAAACTGGTAGAAAGTATCCTCTACAGCAGAAAAGTCTCAGCATTCTGGTGAAAACGAATTATCATGTGATTCTGTCATAAGCCTTTTTTAAAATGGTTATGACTGCACAGTGTGTTCTCATTAGAAACACCATCTAGCTTCCATGTACTCTGTTTAGAGTATTGCACACTTCTATATGACTAAGATACGTAGTGAAGATCGTAGTGAAGTTAAGTGTGAATAACATACACAGAGCTGCTCCTCTCAAAGGAGAGGGAAATAGGAGGTGGAGCCAAGTAACCAGTACGGCATTTATCTGGCTAGGAGTATAGAATGTATAGAACAGAGTATCTTCCTATATATGTGTGTTTGGGGTTTTTTTAAAAGAAAAATAGAAGGTGTTTCAGAAGATAGATATATATATATACACACACTATATTCAGATTTATCATGTGGCCCCTAGAAAAGCACAGCAGAACATTCTGTTGACCTGAGCTAGCAGGTGTAGCCACAGCAAACATTTAAGCCATGATCCAAATATATATATGCAGTGACTCTGCATATGAGAGAAGCTGTTCAGAGTCCACAGCTTAGTCAAATACCTTACCAAATACAAAAGGCAAAGCCTTAGCACCCAATTTTGGTTACAAAACCTCCTATCAATAAACTCAAGACAGGAGAGGGGTGCTAAGTTGCACATCACTAACATGGAAATACACATCTGCAACACATATGAATTTAAAATGTGATTCCTTCTCCACAAAAGAAAATAAGACATTTTCTTTCTCAGTCATCAAACCTGAAAAGGCCATTATTTTTCTGGAATGCTTTTAGTGCATCTGCAACAGGAAGACAAACACTGACTACTGTGACTACTTCATGTATGAAAATTACTAACATATTCTTCTCAATGCTCTCATGGATGCCCAAAATGGAATAAAAGCAAGAGGCATGTTCATCTTCCTTTGTAAGCAGAAATAGGCTCACACATCACATGTACACTTTTGCATACATGCTATGGAACTGTATTTCTGTTCTTAATTACTCTTACAAGAGAAGAGGCTGCACTTACTGCTGAGTGTAGCTATAGAGCTGTAGCTGAACGAAGGCTGATCTCTGACAAGCAACCCCCTAAAACAGGGGTGTGCACAAGTTTAAGCTTGTGTTCTTACTAAGCAATTAGATGATGCAGCTAAAAATCTAGACAAGGGTAAACTGTGGGCATCGTAACCATTGGTTCTCACCTTTTCCGGCTGGTCTTGAAGAGGAGTAGAAGCTTTGTAACCCAGCTGTAGCAACATTGCTTCTGCTGCATTTCTTTTAGCTATTTTCTTGTTTGGGCCTGTTCCAGTAGTAATCTCATTGCCTACTTTTACCTTAAAGAGAAAACATTGATGATAATCATGATAAATGCAAAGCTACTTAATGTAATAATCTTGCTGATCAAACAACAACTGTCAGATCTTTTGATGAAGATGCAGTCTCAAAAAAGTAATAATAGTGAAAAAGGGGACTACAATACTGCTTCACACAGAGGAGCTTGTTTACATTTTTCAAAAGGTCCCCCAACTCATACCGAAGAGCTACATTTATCTGTATCTCAGTGCACACACAGTTGTCTCTCTCTTCCACCAGCCTTTGTGTCAACCACATTCTCCCTGCTGAACATCTCCCCTGCTCTTTCTTAACATGGGAAGCGCTACAGGATCTGTACTTCCTCTTTCTTGTAGGAGTGTAGCCTGCTGCAGCTCCCCAGCATCACTGGGACAGTATCCAGAATAATGGAGAAACAAATAATGAACTGGAGATTTAAATGAGAGTGGTTTCTAAAGAGAGATTAAAACCATGTTTGCGTTCCTCCCACTTCACTGCACTGCAAGGAATACAGGGGCTGGGGCTGTTTTCTTCTTCTGCACTTCCACCTGACAAGCTTTTGTCAAAATAGTCTTTGGAAAGAAGGCTCCTCGTTGGACCTGTGGTCTGTACTGCAAAAAGGGCTTCTGACAAACAAGTCACCTTCCATAAAACTAGGAGAAATTAAAATCTCAAAATAAAGACAAATTATAGAGAATGGATATCCACAAAGAGTGAGACTCTAATATATTCCTCGGCTTTGGTACCATTCTTAAACTCCTGAAGCTGTATGTGCCTGGTTTGTGGTATTAGCACAGTCATTGCTATTCACTCACATAATATTCATAGCTCTTTGATACGTATATTTAACTCTGTCCATTAAGCCATTTTATTTGCCAAGTTTTCTCTTAAAATAGTGTATTGTTTCAAAAGTGTGTTAAAAAAAGGAAACAAAAGAAATAGCCACGGTGATCTGAATAAGAGAAAGCTTAGGTGTCAAAGTCCTGAAACAGTCTGGAAGGAGCTTTAAAAATTTGTAAAAACAGGCCTACAATTGTTAAATAAATAACAAATGTTACTTAGTAACTTATGTTATTCATTATTTATTCACTTTTCTTAAATTATCATGTATATATTTTCCTTAAAGTTTTAATTTTTCTTTACTCAAATACCTATTAATTCTAAATACAAAGAAGAGGATGTAAGTAAATAATAATGATCATGAGTATTCCTTCAAAGTATATATATAATTAAGCAAAAAGATTCAGCTACCTAAACCAGAAAAATTAATAATCTTGAAATATAAACCTTATGTTCTATGCAGTTCTGCAATCACAGTTAGAAAATAGCCAATCTGCTACAAATTTATATGCAGTAAAATTGAGGGACTTTAATGGGACAAGACAAAATGATAATTTATAACACAGCTCACAATAAATCAATGCGCTGCTATTTCTCAGACCTGTAAAACTGGTTTAGCTATTATTATAACCTCTATCAAGGATTAAAGGTCTGACTACAAAGAGAAAGAGCTTTCTGAAATTAACTTTGGGAACAGAACACCAACTAATGTCATCAGAGGTTTTCTTCTGTTTATCTAGTAGTCAGGACAAGTCATTGGATCCATTTCATCACATCTAAACTTGCTCTTTGTGCGACAGATAAAAATGAACATATTATCTCTGGATATTTTACTTCCACATTCAATTAAATTAAATGGAAACATTGTTTAAGTCATTTATACAAAGGCTTTTTATTCTGATAAGGTTTTCTGCATGTCATAATGAACCCACTGAGACTTCCTGAAGGTGGGAGAAAAAGCAGTATGATTTTAGTGTGAAAATATTACAAACGGGGAAAATGGTGCTACAGTGTTTGAAAGTATTCATAACAAAGCAACTGTTCCATGGACTTGAGATAAGGGACTCCTCTATGTATTCATGGATTTTAGGATTTTTATTTTATTCAAAACAAAGATTTTGCCATTATTAAGACTCCTCCAATGGAAAACCAAATTCTCAGCCCATCTTTCTAATACTGGACTGCATTAGACAGTCCTCTTCTGATGCCTCACACAACCACCTCTAACTGAGGACACTCCCATGGAGGTCTGAGTATGGGAAAAGGGACTGTCTGTGATAGCATCACTCTTTTTCAAATACTTTCAGGTAGCACAAAAAATTGGAAATCCAATTTTATATTCATAAATCAGATTCTGCAACAAAAGGAACCCAGTATCTTCTTTTGCTTCAGAGAGAAAAATAGTAAATCATCATGAAAGACCACTGAGGTCCAAGGAAATTAAGAGTGCTAGCTTATCTTGATGGACATGAAGGAGGGACTTAAAGATTTAAGTGAAAACGTAACTAGTTTTCCGGAGAAGTTGGTGCTAGAACATCATAAATTCTGTTTGTGATCAGAAGTGACATTTTGGTGTGGTTTGTAGATAACAAGTCAAAACATGTTGAGGTATGCTGTCCTGAATCATTCTGGCACAAAATTACCCCTGAGTGAAAACACACGAGAAAAGAACTCTTTCCTGTTCCTAATCTTTCTCAAACTGCTGTTGTGCTACCTAACAAAGTATCATGGTTATATTAAACCTTTGTAAATGTTCTTAATTTAAAAATTAAAGAAACATTAATCTACTGTTTCTGTATTAGGTCCAGAGCCTCTAACTGGACAGGCTAAAACACATGATGGAAGGCTTTTTTTGTGGTATCTCAGATATGAACAAAGCCACAAAGAAAGTGAAAATCTGAAAAGATCTACAGCATTATTTTTTTAAACCAAAATCGTTGGTACTATGGAGATATTCATATCCGTATTTCAGAATATTTATTTGCATTGCAATCCTCTGATCAACAATAGCAAAAAAAGTTTTTTTTCAATAAGACGAGTAAAATTAAATAAATCATGAACCATCAGGTATAAAGACAGAAACTACCAAATGAAATAAAAATAAGAGTATAAAAAATGCAAAATCACTACAAGAAAATAATCTATAAGGCACATAACCTGATTCCCATTTGTTTCACCAAGAGAAAGAAGAAAGTTCGAACAGGCTTTCTGATACTGTATTTCATAGTCTTCTTGTATAATGGACTGTAAAGCAAAGAGCTAAAGACAGAGGGATCTGCTTCATATTATGCCACCATTTTGCTTGAGTTTGAACATAACATAGCAAGGGCATTATCTCTAACATGACAGCAGATGATACCTGCATAACAAACTCTCGACGGCGAGGCATTCCTCTCTCTGAAAGAAGAACATACTCCGGTTCCTTCTCCTTTTTGGCCTGTTGGATCTGAGCCAGACGACTGATGGGATTCATTCCTTGACCATATTCTGGTCCAGTCTAAAACAGGTTTAAAAGAAAGAACCATTATTTCAGCATATATCCATACAACTATCACGCTGCTTCAAGAAATGATTTACTAGGGTTACCTCTTTAATACTCCCTTTGAGAGAGTAAGAAGTAAATTTCTTCCCATCTTCTGACCATGAGACAGAAGATAAGAATCCTCAAGCTCAAAACTGTGGCACAAAATGTACACCCATTGTCTGCCACTGTTGCAGGTAGTGTGCATACACAGTATCTGTAAGCTACTAGTAACACGGAGGTCCCATGGGGATGGATGAAAATTAGCAGATTCATCAGTCAATTATATCTCATTGCCCTATTTCTATGACCCTTCCCCCTAACGCCTTAAAATAGGTTGCTACAAAGCTGGAACATGCAGTACGCTAAGAAGAGGTGGGATTTACATGGGGACAAAATGGATTTGCCATATAACAAGGAAGCTGCCTCTCTCGGCCTTCCTGCCTTCCTTCTCAGCAGTCCTGCCTTCCATCCTACAATGCAACTAAAGGTGTAGAAGGTTTACTCTAGTTGCGTGTCAGAAAAATTCACCCTCAAAACACTTTGATGTAGTGAAGCTAGAGAGGAGTATCTCCAGTGCCTAGAAATGTTGTATATTGTGAGCCACCCACAAAGTATTTCAAATGCTTAACAGACAATAATCCTCACTATAACATGTCAAAATGTAAAGTTGGCGGAGGAATTAATCTGATGGGGGGAAACCAAAAGGACCGAGAGACTTGTCTGTCCGAGATTACACAGACAAGTGAAAAACTATAGTCCTTACAAACTATGCTGTTCTGAAATCCTTTTAATATGTTATTACTCACATGGCAAATGCTGTCTCAAAGCAAATAGCTATGAAAACATTTGTTTGTAGATCTTAAGAAGAAATAAAGACCCTCCAAAATTTACCTGAAGTCATATTCGACTGATTTATATACCATAACACAAAGAACGAACTTGCAAATGTAAATGGCATTTGAATGTAGAAATTGTTTTATGTTCCTGAGCTATTTCCTTTTCATGAAGCCATTTACAGGATAAAAGATCAGCACTCATGTTTATCTGAGCTTCTCAAATAAGAACAAACCAGAGCTCCAGAACCTGAAGAGATGATCAGCAACTGAAGGCAAAGACCAGAGAGGGATATTGTATTAAGAAAGCTGTGCAGTGAATCCTACATAGAATAAGTGCTGAAGTTGTTAGAGAAGACGTAGGTAAAGGTATTAAGACAACGTCATGAACAAGGGCAGCTGTGTGGGCAAGAAGCCAGGCAGAGACAAATGCAGAGTAAGCTAAATAAAGTGTAGGCCATAAGATATAGCCTCATAAATATATATACAAATAAAAAGAAGTTATTGTCACTTTTTTTGATGATCAAAACATGTGCAGGTTAAATTGAAAGAAATGGGCACACTGAAAGCATTTCAGAAAATATTAAAAAAATAAAATCTTCTACATATCCAGGTTATTTTGACTATCAATGTCTCTTTCTAGCATGGCCAACTTTGGATAACTCAATTTAAGATTTTAATGGTAAATGGTATATGGTAATATAAGAGATTTTTACATTATTATATCCTTAGCATCTTTCTTGAGAAGAACTTTCCAAAATGAGACAGTCAGAGACAATAGTCTTTTCAGATCTTGCAGCTTTAAAGCTGCATTAGTGCTGACAGTTTTCCATTAAATAACTTTTTATACTCATTTTTTCCTAGCAGTTTTTGAGAATTAGATCCCCAGAATTTCAGTAGGAGATAGGGATCTAATTAACTTAGGTTTTTTTTGAAAAATCACTCATTCTGTTTTGAAGGCAAACGAAAAGAGGAAGATGATGAACTAAGTCCTTTGTACATTTTCCAAACCCATTTCTGCATTCTCCAAAGTATTTGCTTACTTTAAATGGCTTTTCTGTAGGCTGCTCCTACTGAACTCTGCACTTGATGTACTGAGTATACAGATTTCTAATGGTCATACTTTTACTAAAGCAAGTACTGATTTACTTATTTTTACAGTCTATCAATGTAACACTCAGTGAGGACTGAGTTCAAGCCATACTGTTGTAATGTTGTTCAGCCTAACATAATGCAAGCCATGGACTTAATATAATTCAGAAAAATCGAAAATTTTTTTTTCTAAACCAGCAAGAAGCAAATACAGACAAAGAGATGAAACTTAGGTCCCAAAACTATAGTCTGAAGCATAGGTTTTGAACATGAAGTTTTCCTTCTTTTTCTTGCAATTCTAGTCTCAGGGTTTCTGATCTGCATGGTATGGGGCAAAAGTGACTCTGCAACATCTGAGAGAAAGCAAGCAACTCTCCACCATTATTTACACAGACCTAAAATGAGTATGAAATGTTATTAATGTGCCCTTATGTATACCTAAATGACTATCCAACATGCCAGAAAATGGAAAATCATGTACAAAGAGTTTAACTACTTTCTCACAAAATAATACTTCCAAAAATAAAAGGAAATGTAGCAGATTTTGGCTACTTTCAAACCCTCATCTTCTGTGCTGAACAGATGACAAATTAATCTGACTGGTTGTTCAGTCCTGAGACTAGGTAGTGATGCTTCATAAACATATGGACACTATGTGGCTGCTTTTGTTAGAAGAAGTTAGAAGACTAATTACTTCAGATGACCCTTTGGTTTTGTACAAATTTAGGTTGAGCACACAAAGCAGGGCTAGTCACCGTAGACTGACTGAATTGTAGAAGTAGCAATAAATCTAGTGCCACCAAGAATAAAAGCACCATTTAAGAAGCTCAAGCTCACAAGAATCCAGAGCCTCTAAAGGAAGACTCATCACTGCAGCAAGAAGCATATTAATATCCTTTGAGACAGCACATCTTTTAAAGGGGATGATTAAACCTCTGCAAGTCCTCCATGGGCTGTTCTTCAGTCAATTTTCTTTCTATCTATCTGTATTTGAGAGCTAAAGAGAACTATCAAACACATGCTAACCTTAACACAGGCCCATGAAACAAAAAAAGTATTGTCCTCTGGTGCTTGACAAGGGACACACTAAGTTGACAAGTCAACATACGCTGGGCCTTTTTTCAGATCTTCCAAAAATCAAATTAAAGCTGAAGCCACTCCATGAGGGGCAGAAGCTGGACTGTGCACCATTTCCCCACACAACTACTATCTCATATATCCCTCTCCCTCTTCAAACTGGGGAGGGGGGGAAATACCAGGGAGAGAAGCACCACATATGCTAATAGGGCCTCCCACAAAAGATGATGCTAAAAATTCACATGGTTGCTTGGAGGGTTTGATCCTTCTCTAGACTTGAACCAAACCCCTGAAGACTTCAGTGATGTGAGCTCAGTTCTTAAGCCGAGCACCTTACAAGCCGTTATGCTTGAGAATTTCACAGCATTCTCAGAATTTAAAAAAGCACAGTCATATTAGCACAGGCAAACTAGTAACAGTACTGACAGAAAATTATAAATAAGCATTTACTGATTTTAAATCTGAGTAACTCTGTTACTTCCTGAGCAAACATTCTTAGTTCTGTCCAAGGTGGACACATACCTTCAATATTGTTTTCGGACGTTTTTTAAAGTAGAGTTTTGGCCTTTCAATCACAGGAAGAGGAGGAAGTTTCTTAAGTTCTTGTAGGACAGACATTGCAGCACGTTTCTTTGAGAGTTTCTTACTGTTGCCTTCTCCTTCTGCAGTGAATTCTCCTACTGTAACTCGTGTAACAAAGCTCTTCATGTGAGGAGGTCCACTTTCTTTAATAACCTGTTAAGGGAAAGTAACATTAAGTCAAATCACCCTACAAGAATATAACTTAATATTTGTACCTCTGCAATGTACTTACTATTAAAGCAGTTTTCCTGGTAACTGAAGGCATTAGATGAATTTTCACAAAATCTGGACAAGTATTAATGTCAATACCAGGTTGAGGACAGAAAATTAAGGCTTATTAGATATAGCAAATCTAACCATCATATTCAGTGTTTCACAGAAAATACAGTAGACCTCTATTTCCAAAAAGATTTATACAATAACACAATAGAAAATAATAATGCATATTTAAAACAAGACTGGTGTTTTTTTCCTTACAAGGTCCTTCAAGTACAAAAGAAATTCAATTCATAAAGGTCCACCAAGCTTTGGTTATTTCTTGACATAAAACATATTCAAAATTATATTTATATGGCATCACTTCAACCCGTTTGTCATTTTTTTCTATTATCATTAAAACATAGCATGTTTACGCATGGTCCCAAACTTCAGTCTTAAAGGTCCATATTTTTACGCTGTCCTAGCTGCAGGCAGCATGCGTGCTCTCAACTCTTACCTTGCCAGAGTACACAAATAAGAGCAATATCCCATACATTGCAAGGCTGCCACAGTCTTGCCTCTATAACACTCAGCTGTCCCTCCCAAGAGTACCAAAAAGAATTATTGAAAGAACCACCATAAATCACGCAAAAGCCAATCAGTTTTGAATTGTTTCATTTATTCATTCCCTTCCAAACATATTCAGCATGACTATGAGAAAACCCATTATAAGTACTTCTCTACTATTAAAAGTCACAATAATATGGAAAAAAATGAAGTTCTGAATGCTGTACCTTCCTTTAGCTCTTTTTCTGTCTTCGTTTTTCCACACACATACACGTCTCCTTTTAGGAGGCACTCACCAACAAATCACAGCCCTGCAAGTGCTAAGAGAGCCATCTCTTCATGTATGCATCATCCACTGGTCTGGACAATGTCTATCAGGAATTAGAGACCTCATTTGGGAAAAGGTTCAGTTATTTTGTTTGATGGGCGGAAGCAGCTATGTAATTCAATCTTTGTTACATGCAATGTGTGTAAGGAGACATTAGAGCATCTGACAGGCATCTCTGTATCATCTTTAAAATCAATACAAATACATATTTTTTCAGTAGGTACAATTACATGAAACAATTTTTTTGAAGAAGTGTAATGCCTGAGTGCAAGGGAACTGAGGTAGAGGTGCTAGGGCCTTCTTGGTGTAATAACTATATTTTTAATGGGCTGAAACCTTCAACCTTAATATTATTAGAACATGTTTTGTATTAAAGTTCTTTTTAACAAGGTCATGTCCCTTGCATTATTTAGTTTTGCTGTTATACTGTAATGAGGTCTCCTTAGGCTTGTATTTCTTTTTTAAGCTCTCTTTTGTGGCAACTTCACCCAGCAAATACAATTATCACAGCATATATCAATAAAAAGACACAAAATGAGAATTAACGGACAACTTTGTCCACATTTTCCCAGAATAAGATGACAACTGTGCCAGCATGGGATTTTTCTGTTGTAGTCCAGGAATGTTCCCAGTCTAAGATTCCAGGTAGCAATTTCAGAAGTATTGATTCAAGATTGCCTCACTTGAAAGTTGCCCACTAGTGCTTCACCACGTGAGAAGGCAGCTGTGTTTTCAAGACACTGACCAACGGGAAGCTGCACTGCCCACACCAGAGCTGGGACAAGCCCAGGCATCAGGATCTCCTGCTCTCAGGCACAGCTGAGCTTGGTATCAGTGCTGAACACCTTCATCATACTGCAGTGCTTCCCACTTGGTTTTAAAGGCTTATCTTAATCCATCCCTTTACGTTGCTATCCAAGTATTACAACACACTGGCTGTAAAAGATGGCTAAATTAACCTTACTAAGGGCCTTAATGTTTTTGTGGTCTTAGAAATATCATTATATAGGTGTTTCTACTTACATGCACCATAATTTATTAATAAAATATAGAAGAATGTCAATATTGACCAGATGAAAAAGGACAAAATAACTTGCTTAAGAAATATAATTGCTGAGTTTCTAAAATACTAGTTTTATATAAGGTCTCTCACATATATGTAAGTGGACGCAAATACATATGTATGTGAAAAAGAATGTTAATATAAAACTAGATTATATTTTAATGTATATGAAAATATATTTCTTAACATAAAACTAATGTATTCCGGTGTGTTTTTCATCTTTTAAACTTTTAAGTATGTGACACAAGGTAAATAATTGCCTGGAAAACATTCAAAACTATTTCTTTGTTAGTGTGTAAATGAAAAAAAGTCTGTGTTGTCAATGGAATGAACCCCATAGGATTCAGATGGGATCCGGATCAAGCTAAACATCCAAATTTGGTAATTTAGCAAAAAAAATATTTACCTAACAACATTTTTGGTTAACCCCAGATTTTAGATCTTTTTACTCCACATGATTTTAAACAGTTGTGCTATAAGCCTAGGGACAGAAAACACTAAAAAGAAATTCAGCCTTTGGTATTCAAGAACACTATATGCATTAGTACATTAAACTATTTCCTCAGTTGAAAGATACGACCCGTGGACCAAATCATGGCTAATTTAAAGCTGAGAATTTGATTAAGGGTGACAGTTCAATACACTTTTCTTTTTCTGTTCCACTGATTTAAAGAATAACTCCAGCAAGAGAAAACACATGGGGCCAAAACACATCTAAGGTCAAATTACATCAAGAGTGAATTTGGCTCAACTTAATGAATCACGCTGACAAATGAAAAACAGCAGTACGATTACAACGAAAGAGCAACGCTGCTTCAATTATTAATGAGACTCCAGGCAGAAAATTCAAAAGATTAAGACAAGATTAAATGGACATAAAAACCAAATAGAGGAGACAAAAAGCAGGTCCACAAAAGATGTCACCTACATCCATGATTATTTTGAAATTTTAAAATACCAATATATTTCCATGTGTTTTGCAGGCAGGCATACCAGATTTTCCCAGTTTTTAAAAAAGAATAAACAAACAAACAAACAAACAAGCAAAAAAATATCAAATAAACAAACAAAAAAACCCCACCAACGAAAACCAGAAAATCTGGGTGTTTTGTTAAAATTGGAGTGTGTAAGGGTGACCATCACGTAACACCCAAATGAGAGATACTCAGTATGTCAATCATCCAATCTGAAAGTCTTAATCCCCAGGGCAGCAGGAGCCAGACGGGTGTGAAACTTCCTGCTGACAACTTGCTCAGTCTCCCAGAGTCAGCAGTTCAGTCTGTTCCTGGTTCAAAATACTGAATCTCTGCCTCACTCTGATAAGACTGGGAAACAAGAAACTGCAACTCTTTTTCCCAGTAGAACACTGGAAAGGGATGGAGGGGCAGAAAATTTGCCTGTCTCCTCACTCCTGATACTGAGAATGAAAAAAAAAAAAATACATTATTGTATTTGCTATTCTAAAGAACACTCCAATCCAAAGAAAAATACTGAAAATGAAACGATAATCTGAAACACACTAACATATTCTAATACCTGAAGCAGTTGACCTCAGTTACATCTTCTAGGCTCACCCAAATCCTGACTGACAAGTTGGAAATAAAATTCACATATGTTGCAAAAGAACTGAAAAAAGCAAGATTTTACTCTACTGTCAAGGAGGGAATAAGAAGCAAAATGATAATTTTACAGATATTCTAACAATGTCTATAACCATCAGTTTTGTATCCCTCCTTAAAAATTGTTCACTGAAAGTCCCACAAATGCCTTAGAGGAGTTGCATTTTGACTTACAAGTTGATGAATAAAGGTCAGCTAAGGATGCGCCGGTGCTAAGTATCGACTAAATCTTGTTCTGAGTTAGAAAAGAACTTTACATCTCTTTATGACCATTACTTTGTTGTGTAACACAGCACTGTTGGAACACTGGCTAGAACTTCATGAGATGAAGAAAAGGCAGATCATTTTATACCTCTTGCACACAAAAAAAGCTAGAGAAAGCTTTGATGCCTGCCTGGAATAACACAAAACCATTTGTAAATAAAATCCTATTAGAAACATCGGATCCTGGAGATTACCCATAATTACTTAGCAGTTTTATTGAAATATAAGCCAATACCAAATTCAACCAAAACTCTATTTAAGAATGCCACCTATACTTAGATTTAAAGTCAGAAAATAACATAAAACCTCTCAGGAGAGCAAGAAACTGTCCTTTTTTCAGTGTTGTTAACATTCTTTGGCAAGTGACACATTAGACTTTTCCTGTACTAAGTATCTCTGCCTTCATTCTCTCCTTACCAAATGCTCTCCCTTAAATAAGCTGAAACATAGGACTGACGTTAAGAAGACATTCAAAGCACTATCCCTCTTTTCTTTCCAACCTCCAAGATATTTTGTGACCTGTGACCATACATCTCCTTGTATTTTAGTGTATTGATTTGTATGGAACTATTCCAAATACTTTTAAATACTTAAGGTAGAAAATGATGTGTGAAAACTGAAACGTTACTTATGAACTTCCTTTTTGAAACACAGGCATGTGTTTCTATTATGTCTGATTTTACATAAGAGTTATGTTCTTTCCATGTAGTTGCAAACTGATACACCAACACACTCAGACACCCCAGTTTTATCCTTGAGATTTACATTCTCTTAGCTTTCTAATTAGTACACATTACACAGACCATATATATGAAACTCATAAGCATTTGTTATAGTGAGGAATTCCTTAGTCAAAACCAGTATTATTTGTCTTTGGTTCTCTTAGCTACTTTCTGAGAGATTTCTCAGATTTCTAAGAAGGTCTAAATAGCTCATTTGACATTGGCCAATTCATGGATATGGGCCAAACATATCAGTTATCTGCATAGAGCACACTGTAAGGCATGCCACAGCATATTTTATTTTTTTGGCATGCAAATATGTGCCAATACTTCAAAAGGAAAAAGCACTGGAGAAAATAACCATCACCAGTATAGGCACTGCCCACGTCCTTCATATATACTCAGTTTAAATGTGAAAAAAAAGCAGAAAAATACAATTTTAAAGAGCCACTTACATTAGCATTTTCTGCATTAAAAAAAAAAAACAAACAAAACAACCCAACGAAACAGCTTGAAAGTCTGGTGGTTCCTATCACAACATTAGACTTTTACAACCAGTTTGTGTAAGAACCTTCTCATTGGAGAAATTTTCCTGTTACTATCACTCATTCTCCTGTAGTTAGTCCATTCATAGCATTGGAGCTATTCCAAACATTCTTTATTATTTAATATAAACAAAGGTGTCAGAAGCAGGTTCATAGATAAAAATCATAAAAAATTAAAAAAAAAATTATGAAGGCTTAAGTAGAGATAATGGATCAGTGTGGTAGATAAAAAGATACTCATGACTGGAAACAGCACATTGGATGCAAAATGTCTCAGTGGGACCTTCCATCATGTATGAATGCCTACGGTTAAAGCAAGGACTTTGGCTGACTGTTGAAGACAACTTAAAATCAGATTGACGGTGGCTACTGATTCTAATCCCACAGCACTATACAGAAGATGCATGAACTGTCCTTCTGCCATTCACTTGTTTGCAACAAAATATTAGGTCTCTAATACTTCCGAAAGAGTATCTAATTTAACAGTAAAAACTCAGTGTTTTAGACTCTGATACACGACCAATGGTTTTTTATTTATAATTTGCATTAATTTAAATGCTGTATTCATAGTGTGTTAATATTATTAACTGTGTTGAGTTTTAGTGGCATGGGCTTTTTAATTCTTTCTTAGCAAACAGATAAATATGTAACACATACCTCAAAACTGACAGGTATATTGCGCTTCAAAGCAATTTCAAACACTACACTGATCTCAGACTTGTTTGCATCTTTATCTTCTTCCGATTCTTTTCCTGTTTCTCCATTCTGAAAATTAAGAATACATAATCATATTACAATTTTTAGAAGATAAAAAACCATATACTTCTGTCTTGATCTCTTATGAGACTTCTGAGTTCTCCTGTCATGCTGTAAATCAGCATTTGTACATCCATCTCAACACCCCATTATCAGACACCTGCTGACTATGAAGCCATATATAATGCACCTATGCTTCAGAATAAAGGAACACATACACATTAATTTATAAGTTAACGATAGATGGCAAAATAACTTCTATGGATTTTAGTCTTATCAATGACATGGATAATAATTATCTGAATACACACTTCTTGTGTCAAACATGAGGATCAAACAGATCCTTTGACCCGTTTCTCAGTCGCTCTGTGGGTACCCCTTCCAAGTAAGGAAGAAGTCTTTTGTACTTCTTGGAAAGTACAGAAGACTGTACTTCTCTCAGAAGAAATTCAGTTAATCACCCCCACACTTTGACTGGGTCACCAGGTTACAGGTGTCCTCAGCAGGTCCAGCTGGTTAATGGCCCCTCCATCGACCTCCCTCTGGGAGTTATGCCCAGTGTGAAAAGGTAGTGACAGAGAACAGCTTGCTCAACAGAGAACATTATTTATTTATCCATAGGAACATAACAAACAGAGAGGCTAAGAGATAAAACAACAAAAAGCACATGCAAGCACTCTTCTTCCTAAAATTCAGCTTTGCTTTACTCTTCAGGTAAGCCTTATTTTTCTCAGAAAACCACCAGCACGGGGATCAGTCAAAGAGTTACTGTCTTCTGCAACCGGTACATTTTGGTGTTTGTTCCCCAGGCCCCATCTTCCTTAGTTCTCAGAGGATTTACTGTCAGCTACTTTCAAACTGCAAAGCTCTGAATGTTTCAAACTGGGATCTTTCAACAACCATGTAACCTTGGCTAGGCTCCTAATTTTTTATTAGTGGAGGTAAACATCAAAGAAATTTGGGCTGAATTAGGTGGATTCCTGCAGAGTTCCCATCTTATATAACAAAGTCTGATCTAAATCTTCAGCCACCACCACAGCGACAAAATGCAGATATCCAAGTTATAAAATAACATTAAAAAGGCACTAGGTTCTTCATGTTAACAATGAAATGTATCAATCTTTTATCTACCATTTGTTAACTCTTCATATATTAATCTTTAAGATAACACAGGACCAAAAATCCAACAGTCATGTACAGTATGCAGACTTGGAGCACTTCTTGTCTCATTAAATGGTTGCAATGTTTGAGTCTGAAAAAGCAATTTACATCCCTGACATTGATCTGGAACTAAACACAAAATAAAAATTTATAATGCTTATAGAACTTGCTGGAAAAAAAAGGGTGTATTGCAAAGCAGTAACAAGAGTAGTTAGAATGAAATTATTTAGGACCTCTAGCTCCTTTCGTATAATGAAATGTAAAGCACTGCTGAAATGAAGAATGTAGTTCATTCACAGGACAGGTAAAGCATTGATAAGGTTCAATGAGAAAGATCAGCTGAAGCACGTTAAAAGGACAGTATTTAAAAGTAAAAATATATTTTGGGGATATAGAGTATCAAACATAAAGAGTGGGGTACTATTATTCTGTAAAACAACTTAGTGAGAATCTCACTCAGTATTCTGTTAATTAAGTTTGTGTTTTATAAAGGACATTGATAAGATGCAAAGCTGACAAAAAAGCTACAAGGATGAACTAGTGATTAGAAAAAACAACTTTACACTGAGACACTATTGAAACAATAAGTTCTATAAAAAGATTCAAAATTACTTTAGCATAATCTGTAAGTGTATACAAGGGAGAGATTTCTGGTATCCGTTTGTTACATTTAGCAAAGATAAGAAAATACCAATTAGACAGAAAATTAAGCTAAGTGATTTCAGAAGAAATACCTTGCAAATTATGTTTGAAATGAGGAATAATCAATCACTGGCATAATTTGCATAATTTACATAAAAAAATATAAAGCCCACTGGACTGTCACCAAGCCTTTAAGTCAAGAATGTTTAGGTTTTCTAGTTGTACTCTATCTTAACTAGATATGTAGAGTCTAATGTAGAAATTACTGTTTAAAATTTCATGATTAATACAAACACATCCATCCAGAAAATCCCCAGTTGTCCCTTCTGTCCTTACAGTTTAACTCCTTGCATATTTTTCCACTGAACACAGTAGAGCACCTAACCGTGAGTGGAGAACAGGGAGAATCATAGACTGTAAAGCATAGATCTTAGTTCTGAGCAATAAAGTTTCAAACCTTAGTCATATGACTTCCCTAAAGAAGATAAAATATGTTCAGGAGTGTCTCAAGTACTTTGGAGTTAAATTTGATCCTCATTCCACAACTGACACTTTAATTGTAAGGCCTTTCTTAGCCTCACATCCATGAGACAGCAGCGGTGCTTTGGCAGACATACAATAGCTCTTTTATGAAAGCAGGTTCACATTCACCTGTAACCCTGCCCTGTTTGCTGACTGCTTCTTGTTTCTGCTCACCTTATGCTCTTCTACACGTTTGTGCAATGAAGTGTTAAGATGGCAATACCCCTCTTCAGTGGTTTAATAAGGATAAAAGATTTTATCCTTAACTAAGTTTTTTAATGGAAGGAAAAAAAGGGTATCTCTAAATGACAGAAGAATATAGAGAAGGCTGAATTGAGCAAACACAGTTATGAAGACCAAAAGGTAAAACCTTGTATTTACTGCGCTATATTCCATGGATCCCCTTGCAGCAAAATTCACTGAGTTACTAATGGGATGCAGGACTAGATCAGCATCAGTAGATCTCTCCTTGCTCCCCTCTCTGCTCTCCTTGGAAGCACAGTGACAATGACTGGGGAAGAAACAAGCTCAATCTATCTAGTCATTTAGTTGACTAGACATCCAGACTCTAATGTGTACTGGCTCTGATCCATGCTTGATGTCTGAGGAATGGTGGAGTGTTTCAGGAATGAGGAATGGAATCTTCCATGCCTGACTCAAGCAGGTCAGTTCTGTTGAAGAAAGCGGAGATTTACTGAGCTGGACCATGTCCCATGGTGAGGACACATCCCACCACTGTGAAGGAGCCCTGTGTGCACTTCACATGACCAGCAGCAAGGAGGACCCTGAACTCTGGCACCATGAAGCCCTTAAACTCTACTTCAACCAACCTCCAGTTTTCTGGAGAGCTACATTCAGCTCCACACGATGCAGCTCTTTGTAATCCACCCCACCATGACCTAGGCACAGCGCTACCTCCAGCCTTCTCCAGTCACCTGCAACTCTAACCCATGAAGTGGCAGAGATGTTTCTTCATGACTAGCCCACAACCAGCTCCCTTTACCGTCAGCATAACCAAGCCACAGAGGTTTTCCTGACTGAGGACTAAACTTGATCTTTTATCCACTGACACCTGCTATTGAGATCCTACAGTATCCCAAGTGGTCTTCAGCTGCTGCACCAGAAATTCACCGTGCTCCCACAGGTCTTGCAAATGCTGTGTGAATGTCTCAGCTAATCTACGGTATTGTCTCCTGACAAGACTTCCCTATTTTTCTCATAGCCAACTGTGGATTTGATTCAGTTTACATATGTAACTTATGGTGGTGAAGAGAAGAATGAAGTTACTTCATTAGCTCATGAGAAGCAACACTACAGCATGCTACAAGAATTTAGGAAACTCAATTTGCCATGACTACATGTTCTAAAAGCCTGCCCATCCTAACAGACACAATTAGGCAAGAATGTTAATTACAGATTTTATCATTTTTGCTAGGTAAATTACATATGTACATGAGCTATGAAAACCCAGTATATAAACCAGGTACATATCAATATTACTTATATAAATTATTTATTTGTCTACTACTTGTTATCCTATGCACTTAGTGGTTTAATTTCCATTCTGATTAACGGATATCTGGAATTCAAAGATTCTTTTAATAATATTAAGCATATAATTTTCAAAAACTAAGAATATGCTGAGCTAAAAATATGCTTCAGTAATATGAGATTCCCACTCAGGTTTGTGTTAAGGATTCATTATTAACCAATACATTTGACTGGAAACCCAAAGAGAAAAGAAGGGAATTAACAATGAGAAAGGAAACAGGGATTCCTCCTAAGACTTCACATATTCTTTTTTACTAGTTTTCCTGTTTTTTAAAAAAATCAATTATTAACTATAGCAAGTAATTTGAAAGGAATTTCCTGATACAGAAAAATAATATAGCAAAACAAAAGGATGAGTCAAACTCTCTTTGGATCAAAAGGAGGATGTAGATGTAGGGTGCGGCAGAAAGAACAAAGTTTATTTTTAATAGAAAAAATTATTTCCATTCTTAAAAGGAGCTCAAAACTACCACACAAGACACTGAAGATACTACTAGTAATGTTTTGTACTGTGCACAGGAGTTCAACAGGTGTCATCAGAAACAGTGTACAAAATAAAGAGATTGTCTCCTCGTGCATTTATTTTGGCCTATTTGACTGGGAAATTTTATTATATTTGTCCTTTCAATTTGCAAAGATTATTCTGAGAATAATTTTTCTGTTAAATATTTTTTTTAAATATGACACATTTTCATTTTTAAGTAGCAATATACAATACTTCCAAACATAGCAGTGAGAAAGGTTGCCATTTAAAAAGGTATTAAGTGGCTAAAAGCCTAAAACAATCAGACAGGTGATTAGTGAGTTCTGTCAGATCCTTAGTTACACTGGGGACAAGTAATTTCTTAGGTACATCGGGGACAAGTAATTTCAGCTGTAAAGATCACATTCATGACATAACACACATTTAAGATTAATAATTCATTCCCCATGAAGCCACTGATTAAATGGACAATTTATCCACTTTGGTTATACTCTCAAATATTTTATTTTGATATTATTTTTCACTTTATCACAGTTGACAACCCCATCTTTAAAATGCCTAGTTATTTTTGTTATTTGAGTCATTTCATGTTAAGTGTGCTCTTATAAAGAAAACCCACAATTTGTTAGTATTACTTTTCTAATTACTGAGGCTAATATGAAAAAAACACTAAAAATTAAACACTGAAAAACTAAAAAATTGTTCAATTTGGTATCTTAACGTGAAGATTAGGAACAGTTTTCTGAAACACAAACCTGAGGTAATTTTTCTGGAATAGGCTCATTCTGGAGAGCTTGAAGGGCCTTCATTGCAGCATTATGTCTAGCAGCTTGACGAGTCTTTCCTTCACCAAAAAATTCACTGTTGCCAACAGTTAACTGGACATAGAAAATTTTAGGCACTGGGCAGTGATACCTGGAAAGAAGTCATGAAAATAAAACAACAATACAAGTTATGAATTTTAACCATCAATTTTATGTAATATGGGGCAGTAGTTAGGGATAAAACATTATCCTTTCTCACAGAGTAAGACCTAACACTCAGATACATAATACATAGACTGTTCTTAAGCGAGGTCATCAGCAAGTCTGACAGCAGCTCCTACGTGCAAACCAGCTCTTCACCCACATTTGCAGGGCTCTGCAACGACCTCTACTACACTTCAGCCCAACAGCCCAACTCTGCTGTCTTCTTGGTTTGAGTCATGAGAAGATTAAACGTAAGGAGAACTGAAAGCTCCAGTGGAAGTCATGCCTGGGAGACAACTCCTGTCCCACAAGAAAGTGGCACGGGGAAAAAACGATTGTGAGGTCTCTCATCTGAAACCTGTCAGCATAACTCAGCTCCTGGGGACAACAAAAAGTCAGATGGCAGAAAGTAAGGGACTTGGATATCGTACTTCTAGAGTCTTTTTAATGCTCCAGTATTGAAATTGTTGTAGAGGATAAGGAGTTCTCTTCCAAAAGCATATCAGAGGGTAGGGAGAAGCTCTCCAACACTGTAGTAGTCAAACATTTTCCAGGCACTGAATGAAATAAAAGCAGCAATGACCACCACACTGTTTTCCTTTTTTTCCTTCCTACAGAAAAGAATTCTAAATATAATGGCAGGGTTTGTTTTTCTGAATATGTCTGAAAGGCACTCAAAGAAAGATAAAGCAAAAAATTGAATGTTTTCCTATGAAATGTCACAGCTATTATTCCTCAAAGAAAGCAGTATCTTTATTCATATCATCAACTGAATAGCTCTTATTTTCAGTAATAAAAATAGCTAACGCAACCCATACTCCCCCTACCCTGAAACCTCTCTCTCGCTAGCAGTGAATGAAGGGACGTAATGCCATTCTTGGGTTTGGGAGGTCCTGTCACAGCACTGTGACAACTACAAGCATAAAAGCTTGTTCACATAAGCAATTTCTACAGAAAAGAAGTATTCCACACACACCTCCCTCCCCAGACTCAGAAAAAGCAATTCAGCACAGATAATTAGCTCTAATCACTGTTAAAATTATAATCTTTTAAAAGAACATTTCCAAAAAGTCCTCTAATTATATTCTACGTAGGTGATGGAGTTTGCTTCATACTCCGCTCTGTGGTCTAGTCTGCCTGTGCTCCTTCCTCAGACAAAGACTTTTCTAACACACTGGAGATTTAGTTCCTTGGAAGAACATATACCTATCAGAAATGGTTTCTCATTTATGATAAATAACTTATATGTATATTATGGCAATGTAAAAAAGTCCAGGATTCCAAAAGTGTGGCCAAAAGCTAGGTCCATCGCAACAAAACTAGAATCACTCAACAAAGTACTACATTTTCCTTCTTCCTCTTAAAGAATCCTTATTAAAACATGCTCTCTCCATTTTCATCTGTTGACATGGATGGTGATTTTTTTGTATGAAGACTTCCTGATTTTTCATATATAATTGTAACTGATTTGTTTCAACTATAAAACAAAATAAAAAGATTTTCAGACAGCAGCACACTTCAAACCCAAACAAGTGTGAATAAGCACTCCAGTCTCAGTGTTCCTGAACTTTGTGCCTAATTCTAAAAATAGATTTATATGGAAGGAGCAAATCCATAACACTGGCTCCAACAAGCCTCTGGCTATAGAGCCTTGGAGGGGTGAGCTAAGTTGCTTTTACGACATGCAAAAAGTGAGTATTTGCTTTCCAGTTTACAGTTTCACACAGTTATAGGGAATTATTAAGGCATGGAAATGCATTTGCTTATGTGACATTTTCACAGAATTATAGAATAACTCAGGTTGGAAAGGCTTCTAGGAGGTTATCTGGTCCAACACGACACCCAAAGCAGGGTCAGGCTCTGAAGGTACACTGGCTTGTTCAGGCATTGTCCAGGGTATTGTGGATGTCTTCTAGGATGAAGATGCCAAAGCATCTCTGGGCAACCCGTTCCAGTGTTTGACCACGCTTTCTGGAAGAACGTTAGAAAGGTCCTACATGCATAATGAAATTCAAACACCACAGTGCCACTTATTAACAAAGCAGCTGTCAAACCAAAGAAACAGTTCAAGAACGTGAATTTCTATCCCACTCCACTGTGTCCTTCATTGCTTCTGACATACAGCATTCACCTTCTGCCTTCCTCTACTTCTAAAATGCACAGACGCAATACCAAGACACTATCAATGTGATAAAATCTACAGTAAAAAAGCCCAGTGGCTTCAGACTGAGATTTACTTCAAACAGAATGGTATTTTCTCAAGTGAAAGGCAGAATTTCACCCTTTCCCTTCACTCAATGAGTTTACACAAAATGCTTCCTATATCAACATTTTCCTTTGATTTATTAGTTTTATTTGGTTTGCAATATTGTTTTAGGGAGAATTAAAAATAAATTTTAAATTTAGGGAATATGCTGGCAACAGATGTAAATAACACCTCGAAAGAGTTTAAATCTAAGAATCGGGAACAGGCATTTGACACCAAACATAGGTCAAACTATTTTTCCAAAGTGAAAAATATTACACTTATTTAAAATCAAAGGAAAAAGGATACAAAGCTTCATCAGTATTGTCACCATTAACTCCACTTCCTCCACAGCTGGCTTAGAGCTGTCTGTCCCTGGCTCCTCTACACTGCTAATGTGAAAGTCTTTCCTTAGTATATCACAGTAACACAGAGGAGTGACCTCTGGAGTTCCTCTAGTCCAACTCCCCTACTCAAAGCAGGTCAGTTAGAGCAGACTGCTTTGGGCCACTTCCCATTGGGTTTTGAGTATCTCCCAGGCTGGTTGGTTCAACAACCGGTCTGGCAATCTGCTCCGGTGTTTGACTGCCCTCACAGTATAAAAGTCTTATGATTAAATGGAGTTTCTTGTATTTCAGTTTGTGCCTCTTTTTCACTGGATACCATTAAAAAGAGCCTGTCTCCACCTTCTCTAATCATCCCCTTCATGTTTCTATACACACTGGCAAGATCCTCCTGAGCCTTGTCTTCTCCTGACTAACTAGTCCCAGCTCTCACTCTCTCCTCAGGTGAGATGCTCTAGTCCCTTAATCAACCTAGTGGCCCTTCACCAAATTTGCATTGGTGTGTCCATGTCTCTGTTTGTAGTAAGGAACCCAAAACTGGACCCAGCACTCCAGATGTAGCCCTTCACCAGGGCTGAGTAGAAGGAAAGGATGACGTCCCTCAACCTGCTGACATTTTCTAAACGCAATCCAGGATGCTGTTGTGCGCCTTTGTTGCATTAGTAGTTCATGTTTAACTTGGTGTCCACCAGGATCCCCAGGTCTTTTTCTGCAAAGCTGCTTTCCAACCAGTTGGTCTCCACTGTGTAGTGATGTATGGGGTTATTCCTGCTCAGGTGCCCAGAAAGCCAACTGCGTCCTGGGCTGCATCAAGAGAAGTGTGGCCAGCAGGTTGGGGGAAGGGATTCTCGCCCTTTACTCCACTCACGTGAGAGCCCACTTGGAGTACTGCATGCAGCCCTGGGGCCCTCAGCATAAGGACATGGACCTGCTTGAGTGAGTCCAGAGGAGGGACACAAAGATGACTGGGGGGCTGGACCACCTCTCCTGTGAGAACAAGCTGAGAGAGTTTGGGTTGTTCAGCCTGGAGAAGGCTCTGGGGAGATCTTATAGCAGCTTTCCAGTACTTAAAGGGGGCCTATGGGAAAGATGGGGAGGGAGTCTTCATCAGGGGGTATAGTGATAGGACAAGGGGTAATGGTTTTAAACTGAAAGAGGATATATTTAGATTAGATATAATGAAGAAATTCTTTACTGTGAGGGTGGTGATGCACTGGCACAGGGTTCCCAGAGCAGCTGTGGCTGCCCCCTCCCTGGGGGGGTTCAAGGCCAGGTTGGACGGGGCTTTGAGCAACCTGGTCTAGTGGAAGGTGTTCTTGCCCATGGCAGGGGGGCTGGAATGAGGTGATCTTTAAGGTCCCTTTCAACCCAAACCATTCTACAAATACATGATTCTTCTTGCTTTTCATGAAAATAGGAGTGAAATTTGCTTTCTTCCAGTCCTCAGAAACCTTTCCAGTCACAGCAATCTTTGAAAGACAATCAAGAGTGGCATCACTATGACATCCCTCAGCACTTGTGGGTGCATCCCACCAGGCCTCATGGAACTGTCCCGTTTAAGTGTTCCCCAACATGATCCTCCTCCATTGAGGGTAAGTCCTACCTGCTCCAGACTCTTCCACTGATCTCAGGGACCTGGGACTCCTGAAGGCCAGTCTTATCAGTAAAGACTGAGACAAAGGCATTTTGAGTACCTCCATCTTTTCCATGACCATCAGGTCCCCTGCCCCATTCAATAGTGGGTCCCTAGTCTTCCTTTTGCTGCTGTAGAAGCCCATCTTATTGCCCTTCAGATTCCTTTCCAGATTCAACTCCAGATGGTCTTCAGTTTTCCTAACCCCATACCTGCACACTTGTACAGTGTCTCTACGTTCATCCTGAGTCACCTCACCTGGGTTACAAACCCTGTTTGAGTTTAGTCAGAAGGTCTTTGTTCTTCCATGAAGGCTTCCTGCTGCCTTTGCTTGTCTACCCACATGTCAGGATGGACGGTTAAACTGTTCTTGAGCTTGGAGGAGGTGAAACTTGAGAAGCTCTCCTGGACTCCTCCTCTCTTCAGGACTATACGTCCCGGGATTCTTCCAAGTAGGTCTCTGAAGAGACCCAAGTCTGTTACCCTGAAACCCAGTTTGTGATCTGATACTCACCTTGTTCTCTCCTGTCAAGATCCTGCTACTATCTCACCGTCACTGCACTGACTCCAACCCTCTTATATCTGACCAGTTCTTCTTTGTTTGAAAGCGTGAGCTCCATCAGGAGTGTCCATCCTCACTGATTCCTCAATCGCCTATGTCAGAAAGTTGTCACTGATGCACTCTAGAAACCTCCTGGATTGCTTGTGCCCTGCTGTGATGTCCC